CAGGTTGTTCCAGCAATTATCTTCTTCGTATTGTTTATTACCGAGTGATTTTTGTCCTTTCGGAATTTTGGGTTGGTGACAGTATTTTGAAAAGAAAATAGAAATTGACATTTTTTTCAATATCTCATTTATTTTGTCCCTTTAGTCAACTTTCACTTACTGTTAAGTGGGATCGTAAAACACCTGTAATTTCATTTAGGTGTTAAACGGGAGGGTCTTTTGGCTAATAAGAAATGATTTTGAAGATGAAAAAAGACGTTTTTGACTTATTTAAATTTATTGTACTTAACATCCCACCAATTAAAGAGTATAGGAAATTGTGTGCATAAAAAGTTTTTTTGTAAAATTAGTTTTTTAGTGGATTTTTTTTAGCAGCTGTAGAAATTGAAGAATTGAAAGGCACTCTAGTTTCTTAAATGAAGAAAACATAATAGCAAAAAGTTACTTCAACATTCGAGGGAAGGATTAGAGTAAAAGCGATGAAAGTTTCAGGGTTTTTCCAGATCTGAATATTGTGACATCGAGTTAGAGATAAATTTCTGATTTATTCGATTTTCTCAAGGATTTTGCAGGAAACTTTAGTCTCTGCAGTTCAGCAGTGGCGTTGAAATGTCCAAATATGCTCATTTTAGTGCTGTGACTGATTCAAGTTAATGCCTCTGTTGTAGTGGCTTACCAGTTGAGTCATTAAGTCACCTGCATAGTTCGGTATAGCGTATTTCGTTACCATCCCCTACAAAGAGCGTTCCGTTTTTTTCCTGATGGTTATCTTAAGTTTTTGACGCATGTGTGACTTTGCAGGTAAAAAATGGAGAAGGAGGTGAAAGAAACAAAATTTTACGATATTCTTGGTGTCAAGCCATCAGCATCGGAAAGTGAATTAAAAAAAGCTTACAGAAAGTTAGCACTGAAGTATCACCCGGACAAAAACCCCAATGAGGGCGAAAAATTTAAGGCGATTTCTCAAGCCTACGAAGTGAGTTTTGACATTGCTTCAGATCGCCCTTTTGTGGTTTACTGATTCGGTCAGAAGTGCTTTAGAATTATTATTTTTAATTTGAAGGTACTCTCAGATCCTAAAAAAAGAGAAATATATGACCAAGGCGGAGAGGAAGCACTTAGTGGAGCTGGTGGCGGTGGAGGTTTCCACAACCCAATGGACATTTTCGACATGTTTTTTGGAGGTATATTATTCTAGGATGGATACAAGAAACTGAGTAGTTTTTTCTAGTTTTGATCTCACAATTTTTTGTTATGATTCACTCTATTCTTTTTTTTCATTCGTCAACGTATAGCTATGTGGGCTTCTTTTTGAAGGTACATTTCGATCTGGGAAGAAAGTTCGAGACATGATTCATCAACTCCCCGTTACGCTTGAACAACTGTATCGAGGAGCAACTAAGAAGTTAAAAGTCACTCGCAACATAGTATGTCCAAGCTGTGAAGGTGTTGGAGGCAAGAAGGTATCCCAGTAAAATTTCCTATACTTTCTTTATTTGTTTCTTAAATAGCGGGATGTTCGTATAGGATCTCATTGTAAAGTCATGGGGAGTATATTGTAACATAAACTAGTGCAAAGTAGGAACTACTCGATATTAATTAGCTAACAGAAGCAATTAGGCGAAATAAATGCTAGCGTTTTCTAATAAAAATGTGGTTTCCGGTTAAATGGGTAGTGATAGACTACTATCCTGGTTTTCAAAATATTGTTCTTTTTTTGTAGTTCAAGGGGAGTGGCGGAAATGCTTTTCAATGAGTTGATGGAAATCAAAGTTTTTAGGGGTCTGTACTGTCATGTCCGATGTGCGACGGTCATGGAGTGCGCGTACAGGTGACTCAAATTCTTCCAGGAATGGTCCAACAAACTCAGAGTACTTGCCGGAATTGTAATGGCAAGGGCGAAGTTATACCAGAAAAAGACCGGTGCAAAGACTGTAATGGGCAGAAGAAAGTAAGTGAATGATTGGCGCTTCACTTTCGAACACCATTTTTTTTTAATTTAATTTCCTGGCGGGAAAGTCATGAAGATAACTATTGCAGAAGAGAGACGAAACTCTTTTAGAAGTTCATATTGACAAAGGAATGAAAGATGGTCAAAAAATTACCTTTTCTGGAATGGGTGATCAGGAGGTTAGTTTTAAGAGGCAGTTTTTGGCAGCTGTTTTTAAATCCGTTTACCCGTATTCTTTGATAATTTTTTGCGTCAGAAACTTTTACGATGGCCTTTATGATTCAAATTCAAATACGTATGGTTATACTTGCATTTTTGATGGGCATAATGAAGTTAGAAACATTTAGGTTGGAATTCCTGCCGGTAACATTGTAATTATTCTTGACGAGCAGCAGCATCCAACATTTGTTCGTAAAGATAATAATTTAGTTACGCAAGTTGAGTTGAAGCTTGCTGAAGCTCTTTGTGGATGCACAAAATATATAAAAACACTTGATGATCGTTATCTTGTTTTCGTTATTCTTCCAGGTTTGACTCACTCTTTACACTTTGAATTTATATTGCTATGGTAAAAGTAGTTATTTGGCCAGGCCAAAGAAAAACAAAATATTTCTTTCGTCTCTTTGCAGGAGAAGTGATTAAACATAAAGAAATGAGAGTAATTCCGTCAGAAGGGATGCCTTTGTACAAGAGCCCTTTCGATAGAGGCGATCTACTTATTCAGTTTTCTGTTCAATTTCCTAAACATATTTCAAAAAAGCATTTCGATCGTCTTAATCATTTGATACCTGGACGTTCGAAGCCGCACATTCCTGACGATGCTGAGGTAAACTTTTTTACAATAAGAACAGAATTTCTGTAGGCGTGTTTTTCACTGCCTTAAATTTAGGAGTGTTTTTAAAAATCTGTTTTTCATTAATGGTTTTTAGTATCACAAACTGGAAGTAGTACATGAACGGATCGGCCGACGGCCTTCTGATGATGATGATGGGTCTAGTCATCCAGTACGGTGTCAAACACAATAGAGAATATTATGGTAGTACTTATTAAGTTTTAATTCTCTATTTTTTGTCATATTCGCGATATACGTTATATTGCTATTCTGTACACTGAGCTTGAAAAAAAAAAAAAAGTTGGTGACGCGACAAGCGAATTTGTGGAGCAGTCGGATCTCAAGTTTTGGGTTTTTGGGTAAAACAGAAAAATCTAATTATGAAATCGAATTTTTATATAACTTTCCTACCTTTTCACAGACCTGCTTCGGTGATATATTTTAGAGTCTAGTGTTTGAATCACTGAGTAAATTTTTTTGCAGATACCACTTTGTGACTTGTTTTGATTCTTAAAAATGTTAAATTGTAATATTTTTGTTACTCCATTTTAGATTTTATCGAAAGCAAGCGTGGAGGAATTGTCTGCATTAGAAAATAAATTGGAACGGGTTTTTGTTTTTTAACATTTTGACTTTCTACCGTTCCTGTCATAGCTCCAATTACTTTTCGTTTTCGTAACTTAAATTTTGCGGAAAGTATATCTGCAAAGTTCTGTCATTTATAAAGGTATTGGTCATTAATGAATTAAATCAATTCTCTTCTGGGTTAGTAGGGATGTGGGGCCTTATTGATGAGTGAACGTCTAGATGTAACGTTATTTGGCAGTAGGTTTTGAATTTCTGCAGTTTAATTGTTTAAGGGGCTGCAAAGGTTGTCGAACTGTTGTTACTGGGATAGACAAGGGAAATGTTCTTGGGAATTGTGTTTATGCAGGTTGGTTAGACTTTCGTCTTCTTCCTCATTTTGTTGCAATTTGTTCGCTGTTTTTTTTTTCCTTTTTTGTTTCACTTTTTTTTTCTTATCATAGGAGACGTTACTTTGTATAGCTGCTATTTGGAACATTGGTATTCGGCGAGTACGTCGAGTACATACTGCGTTGATTACACTATTGTTTTTCAAATTATATCGTCGTTGTTATTTTTTTTAATTCTGATCTAATGCAAATGGCCTTTATGCTAGGCGTTGCATTCTTTTAATTCTTTCCAAGTATTTCGATTTTTACTTTCTGATTTCAGCCTTTCTGTGTATATTTATGTATACCAGTGGTAGTAATATTGAAGTACGTATCTATTACTCTAAAGTTATTCATGTAGTGTTACTTTTGTATAATTGTTTCGCTGCGTTTCATTAACGAATGAATCGGAGAGGTGGGAGAAAGTTGGTTCAAATTATGAAATGGAATCCAAAAAAGATTTAGAAAGCGTATTCGAGGATGGCGATGAGACAGTATGGAAATGCTGGGTCTTTAGTAAAGCTCTCTCTGTAACGGTTGTAGTTGTCGAATTACTGTTTACAGTTGTAGAGTATTTCTCAAGGTAGTTGTGGGACAGCTGGTGCGCGCTTTCTGCGGCCTTTAGCTAGGCAAGACCAAGTTTGGGGTGCTGGTAAACGAGGCATACTGATGGTGTTCAGTTGTGCGTTTGTGCTTATAATGCTTATTGGAGAAATATATTCTTGCTCCGTTTTGTCTTTCTCTATTTAGTTTTTTTGGAAGGGCAGTAGCCGCTTTTTTCGACGGTTATGGTAACGGAGAGGTGAAATGTGTAAGCTTTTCAAAGCAGCATCGCTTCCTTCAAGTCTGGTCAGAGTTGGTGCGCCAGTACGGTGCTGAGCCTGTCGACAGTTATAACTTAGCCCATTCTGTTTAAGGGTCTTAAGCCTCGTTACTGCTATTTTTGTTCATCCTATATTAATTTTTTTTAGCTAATTATTTTTACTTTTTCTGTTTTCAAGGACGCACAGACTGTCTGCTGAAATCATTTTTTATGGTGTTCGAGTTGCAGTGGGAAGTGTTTACAAAAAAGGGTTGATTCATTTTTGAATAATTTTGGACGGCAGATTGTTAAGTTTCGGTTGTGTTTTGAACGAATTTTAGGAGGGAAAAATCATTTGAAGATTTTAGAGGGGGATTTTCAGTTCTGATAGGAATGGGTGGGGGATGTCATCATTGGTGAATATTTTGGTGAAGTGCGCGAAATTCGTTTGGAAAACTTCAATTTAGATCTAAAAAGTAGGGGCTGGTAAAGCAGGTTTCAATATAGTCTTGTCTCTAAAAGGAGCCTGATTGGTGACACTGCAGAGTTATATAAAATTGAGTTGCTACAAGGTTTAGAAAAGGATTTATTAGGCTGTATTGTAAAGCTTATGTTTCGGAAGTGAAATGGTTAAAGTTCAAAATCTTGCAGAGCTCACTTATCTGGTTGATATTTTTCTGCAACAGTTGACAGACGAGAAAGTGCTGATTGTAATTGGATTTCATATATATGTTACAGTTTGCTTGCTGTTGTACCCGATTACTGGAATTATGAGGTACTTTTATTCAGGTCAATGAGTGTTACTAATGGTTCCGTCCCAAAAATGGAAAAGAATTAACAAAAAACGCTAAAATTAATCCAGGAAAAAAATGTAGCAGCTTGTAGCAGTAATGTTGGGACGCTGAAAGCGCCAAAAATGATCCAGAAATGTTTAACAGGATGGGAATCAACACAAAATTTCAGCAGTAGCAAACCGGCAGTTGTATGCCAGATGATTGAAATTGTCGCTGTTTTCATTGAGGGGATTTGAATAATGAGCAAAAAAAATTCTGCCACCGCAAAAGCTAGTCCAACTGAAAGGCACACAATTAGTTGAGTTTCCAAGTCGGTATACTCTTTGAGAGAATAGTCATCTAATGGTAAACTGGCTTTTACGTGGTCATCCTGAAAGTAGCAAATTCAGTAAGCAAAATTTTTTCTCATCAAGAAGAAGGCTATTGGTATAGTGAGTGGACAATTAAGGATAAGCGCTGAATTCAGAAAGTTCTTCAGTTTTTTGAGATTTTTATTAGACATTATTTTAGCTGAGTATTTGGAAGCCATTAGCTCAACAGAGCTCCAAACAGAAATTAAAGTTATTCGTTTTCTTTTGTGACGAACATTGCCAACCGCTATTTCGCACTATATCTGTTTATAGACTTACCATATTTTTGTCAAGATCGCTTCATTTAATTATTTTTTTTTAAAACTTGTAGTTTTGCGAAATGATGTTTTTGGCTAGCCAGTTTCTATTTCGGTTGTCTTTGAATGTGATTAGTCAAGAGAATAACTAGGGAGCAGTTAATTATCAATTATAGCTCTGAATAACCAAACTGAAGCCTTTTTGGCTTTATTTAGCAATTAGTTACTTTTTTATTCGGTCTGAAATAGTTATCGTATTATGGCTTTGGATTTGTTCCTGTCAGACGCACTCATTGGCAGCCACAAAAGCACTCCACGAACGGGTCGGATTACTAAACGTGCTGTATTCTTAGTTATCTACTAATGCTACAAAAGTGTTTAACTTAGAAAGCTTCGAGCTGCATGATGCGGTCAAAACATGAAAGTGAATAAATCAATAAATAATTGATGGTTGCCAGACTAAGGAAGTTGTTACAGCTAGCTGGTTCCACTGCATTGTACATTTTTTTTACAAAGGGTACAAATTGCGTGTGCTAAAAGGAGATGAGAAATTTCAAGCATATGTTTTTAAGGATAAGTGAAGAAAGTAGAGAAGGTATCGAAAAGTGAATGGGTAAGAGGCTATTGTACTTAGAATTGTTGTGCATGAGAAGGGAGTATAAAGTCTAGCAAGGGTTTTGAAGTGATTTTTGATTAAAATAGAAGTATTTTCGTTTTCTGTGCAAACGAACGTTCAGTTAGAAACTGATTCACATATTTGACGATTTTATTTTGGAGAGTCAGGAACAGTGGCCATCGTAGGAGGATTCTAATCATTGAACAGCCACTTCTTTATAAAACATTATTAGCGGCAGCAGCCACTTAAAATCACAAAAGTCAACGTTCTACATTACTTGCTACCAGCTATCAATGTTATATTCCTACTAAAAGGTTTTGCTCAATTACTGGTTGCAGTTTTGTGACGATGCCAAACGTTTTTTTTTTCTTCACTGGGAAAGTTTCCGCCGTCAGGTTCCAAATTTGGCTAGTTCAGATAGTTCGTTGTCAGTCTTTCATTACTGACTTTACTGATCGTGTTAAAATATTTGTGGAAAAATGGCTAGATCTTTTGTCTTATCCTCCTGTCACGTACCACTTTTGTGGAATTTAACTTCACTTCCTACAAATGAAAGTTCTACCAGTTTCACAAGTAACGGTAAAAAGCTGTATTTAACAAAGAATGCTAAACATTCGGAAATATTGTAGAACAAATTTGATGGCATTCATCACGAACAAAAGCCGTCTAGAAAAATTTAGTGTTTTTTAAAATCACAGTTGTTATACGAGTTATTCGTGTTGTTATGGTTTTTATTTTAAAGTTTCCAATGAGTAGCTGTTGTTATCAGAGTATTGATAATGATAGGGTATGCTACTTTCTCGCATCTCAACAACTTTCAGCCGGATAATAACAAAGAAAGAATCTTTGAAGACGTTGCTAATAACTCCCTATTTTCGCTTTGCTAGTTTCTTAATATTGATAAGGGTAATTACACAGGGTGGAGGAAATACAAGTGTAACGAGGTGCGGGGTCGCAAAATATCTTTGCGCAGATTAACGTTTATGGGGTTTTGGAAGCATAATTTCAGCCAGTATATGCTAACCAAAATCTTTCAGTTTGTCCAAAAGAATGCAACTAAGCAAAAACAAATTTCACTAATAGTTCAGCTGTCTTCTCATTGCAAATAATCTACTGCTGGGCAGCTCCTTGTAAGCTAATCTTTGAGATCAGGCGAAGGCCTCACCATAAACGAGATGCAAAAGATGAAATCATCACTGGTCCGTTACTGAAGTGTCCTTCACAAAGAGGGTCTCTCAATTAGTCATATGTAAATCATTGTCTCATGTTTAAGGCATTGATATTCATACTTGATAAATCTTTTTACTCCATAAACCTGTCTTTGTAAACTGAAGAAGAACATGAAGATTGATATGAAGTGGTGGGGGAAGTACCCGTCACCGCTTCAACCAATCCGTGTACAGGCCATCTCTAGATAATGGAATACTGTATATGGTTAATACGGGAAGTCGATCTCATCTGCCGTCCGTTTAAGAAAAACGCTTCGGAAGTTTCACTTGTTGAAAAGCCGACAGCTAGGCCAATCGTGGAAACTTAGCTGTTGGTATGCTGCAGCGGTTCTCTTCGCCTATGAATTGTAGACGGAAAGATGACTAGGGGCTTATTCCTGGCTGCCAATCAGGTCAACATTTTTATTAGGAATGAGCGGGTTTGGGAAAACAATAAAATCAACAGTGAAAAAATATTTGCCACACAAGTTCCTTCCGGTATCTTGAGAGCCGTAACCAGATCTTACCATGATATTCAAAGTAGAACTTTACAATTCTAACGTAGACCCATAACAATAAAAATTGTTCAGAAGTTTTTCAGGGAATATAAAACATCTCTATCTAGCTGACTGGATTAATTCATGACTTTTTCGAGAAAAAACTTTGTTTATTCGGAATATTTATAATAGCGTTCTTTAACTAACAAAATACTTTAGTTTCGTGAAACAGAGATATAGAAAATTACTGATAATCAGATATGACCTCTGTCACTTTTTGGCAAGAAATGTGTATCTGATTTGGCTTTCTAAAGAAATCTGAACAAGAGCCTTCTTATCAGTTGTTTTGCTCATTGGCCGACAAATAAGTTCCAAAGCCTTTTGAAATCAAAAAATAGATGAATTTAAAAGAAATTTCAAAAGTAAAATTATTGCTTACCAGATTCCAAAATGTGAAAAACAACAATACACCATGGCCGACAATACTCAAAAAGTAGGACGACAGATAGTCCATAGAGTGTTTTATGTGACTAAACTATGCATATAAAGCTGCAACAATGTTGCTATGGCGATCGGGAGGTGAGCTGTCGACAACCTTGGAGATTAACTCCGGCATTGTCCGTCCTCTAAAAAATTGCCTGCAAAAACGGTCAGGCAGGCAAAAGAAAACGATTAGCAGCCAGCCGTAGCTCAACAGAAAAACCGTCCAAATTTGCACATTAACTTGCAGTATTTCAACCACACTCTTATTTCAGCCAAAACAAGTTCCTAATTAAAATAAACTTGAACGCTACCACTCCGACGCTTTCTTCTGTAACTTCCGCTAGGAAAACTCTTCAGCTTTAAACACTCAACTGCTACATAGATGTTCATAAGCAGTAAAATTGCAATGCTGAAGGGGTACAACTGTGGTTTATATAAAATTCAATTTTACCAGACAGTTGACACTGAACGCATTTTGTTCAAATGTTGTTTGGCACCCGGTGTACAACTGGTAGCTTAGAAACGGAAAACAACACTGCGGCTTTATTTATGCAGTAAGATGGTTAAGATGGTACATTTTAAGTCCTAATAATATATGTAGCTCCTAAAATCAACACTTTCATTCTTTTAAAGTCAACATATACGTATTTATAAAGCATATATATAATATAATTTAAAAGAACAGGATATGAGAAAGCTAATGAATAAAAAATTATTAAGTTTTATAAAAAAAGTCTAAATTACGAGTCTGCAAAGGTAGGCATGTCAAGCTGCAACCTGGAAAATTTTGCAACTTTGAAGCGTGACTTGGCAGGAGATTCGCTTTTCCAGGCTGTTTTCGGCCTGCTTTACACTGGCCCAGACTCTACTAATCAACAAAATTTTAGAAATTTCTGATATATAAAGGGAAAAAGTATGCGATTTAGAATGGAATGGGATATATGTATATTTAAATTGTGATTCTCTCAAGTAGAAGGAGGAAAGGAAAAATGGCTGGGGCGCAGAACAAAACGACAGATATACTACATGTGAATATTCTTGCTACCGTAACAGTTCCATATTTCTACCATAAATTGAATTAGAAATTGAAAGGTTTTATGAATTTAGGAAGGTATATAAAACATTTGCTTTTTTCGTTTTTTTTTCGTTTCTTTTTTGTCTGTTTTTTTATCTTTCTTTACCGTCCAATTATCCCATAATTCGTCCTTTTGCTTCTGACGAGTTCTTAAACTTCTGATGCTAATCAGAAGAAGTACTATTGTAAAAATTAATTCTCGGTTGCGCACCATTTCTGCCATTGACGGTTACTATAGTATTAATCGAGATTGGTCAAAAACCATCAGCACAGTAAAAACGTTGATATATGAGCCATTCTGCCTAGTGGTGTCGATGTTTTGACGCATTTTTTTTGTCCATAACCTTTTATTTACCTTTTGAAAGCAAAGTTTCTAATTTCATTCAGCCGCAGAAGTTTTAGAAATATTCATAAAACTTGAGAGGTTGAAACCTGTCGAGGTAAAACTCACCACGGAACTTAATCAGTATCATAAATAAAGTTTTACAAAAGTAAACAAATTATAGAAGTGCTCAGTATAAATACAGTGCTGAAAAATGATGGTGAATGAATACACAGACTGTTTCGAAACAGAACAGAAAAAAGAAGTAAATTGCGTGTATCAGGAAGAAAGTTAAGAAGCTGTATCCTCAGATTTACCGCTCTTTGACAACTGAATATTCAGCGCAAAAAATTCTAAAGAGCCCTATTTGAGCCCCCTTTGCCAACCTCATTTCAAAAACTGCGTAGTGCCATTG